TATAAATGGCCTGTTCATCCAAAATATAAAATATGTTATATCAGCTTAATTATCAGTATAAGGGTAGTGGAGATTAATAATTCATTGATTGAATTCATGAACCGATTGATGTTAGACCACCATTAAAAACCTGGAAGCATTGGAAGGCGTTTCATCCTATTGTGGCACTCAGTAGTGCGCATCCATACTCCCGCTCTCAGGACTCAATTCTAGGTCCTTCATTATCGCGCGCAAACGCCTAACATCTAGACCACAAAGATGTTCACCATGCAATAGTGTTAATATCTAACCTCAAACAAACCAAGAAATTGCGCGATCTGCTTTCATTGTACTGAGGTGAATAGGGGTATATATAACTCATCTAACATTTATCAGATTATCTACATGTCTGACTAAGCAGACAACTAATCTTTATCATTCTCACCTACACATCATATTTGATTTTTAAAATTTGATCCAAATTTTGAAAAAATAATGATGATAGTCAAGTTTCAATTGACTTATGATCTCAACTGTTGAAATTACCACAATCTCCACAAAACCCCTTCTGATAATAATGATAATATTTCAACTATCTTCAATCGCCCACGATCTGACTCCAGTTAGATCATATGAATGATTGTTATTGAAATACATATTATCACCTATTGGCTTATCTCGTATAGAATCATCGACTTAACTGACGTTAATGTATAATGGAATCAAAATAAGTCAAATACGAGAATGAATTCTGAAATGCGTATATTTTGTACACTCACTGATCTGGAAAAGCAATCAAAGTGATAAACGGAATAGGAGAGATATGAAATGACGAGTAGTGGAGATTCCATGTAAGCCATCTCTATTCAACCTAGAGTTAATCAATATTTGGAGCTAAATAAAATTAAGCTATAGATATGTAACGAGTAGAATAGACAATATACACACCAGTGCTTACACAAAGATAATCAAGATTAATAAGTGAATAATGTATAAGATCAAGATATCTGACTGAAGAAGAACAGTTGAATTAGTCGGTCTATCCCCAAATTAGAATAAGTTATGTAAGCTTAAAACACAGTATAACTAACATTATATATATCTCCTCGTGTTATTGTGATAAGTATATATGTATATCATTTCCTATATACTTGAAATCTACTTATTAAAAATTAAGGCGAGATTCTAATTTATGAACGACCTTTGAACGAATCTTAAGTGAATTTGAGAAATATTAGCTAATCAAGAAACACTTAGTATAGAGTAAAAATATATAATACAAAACGAAAGAAATAAAGTGAATACACGTCGTCTACATGGTTCAAAAACTTGTCAAGGTTAGAAAGAGGTGCAGAGGTTCTAAAACCGTGATGCATACAGTAGAGGAAATCATCCATAAGGCTACAGAATAGTCGACATTTGGAGCCTCGACCACATAGATTCAATATTGTTTATGTTCACTCTGGTTGTTGAGTGCACGAAATGCTACTTGTGGATAACGACACGATGCACATAACCAAGTCTATGTACGAGTCTGTACGCTCTCCAAACATCCGTATATATTGTAGTACCTGGTTGCAGACAGTGCCACTGATGCTTTTACTATCCAGTTCTCGATAATTGTCTTAATTTGTCTTAGTTAGGGTTTTCATCACGAACTGACATCAACAATAATGCCAGAAATTTATTTAGTCAAATTGATGAAAGGCTTTCAAGTTAAAATCCGAGATCTATTATCTTATACCTGATTGATTCGTCCACAAATTATAGTCTCGCCATTTTATTTGTTATGTGCACGAAATTCCCTGTTAACCGATCATACGTTAACATTCAGCAGTGAAATTGGCGCCGTAACCTTAAAATCTCTTAAACGCCTCCGATTGACTCGTCCATAAATTAAAGTCTTGCCAGTCTACGTTCAGATACAAAGTAAACGAATGTAGAAAACTAATGAACTGAATTGTTTATTAAAGTTAATGGAGATTTTGTGACATCCAATAAGTATTATTAGTTATTATGTGGAAAACGGGGAAGAGAAAGACCAAAGTACACACATTATATCAAGAATTGAAAACAGACGTGAAAACAAAACGATGAACAGCAAGTGAAAACAACTGGAACAGATTGTTCAGGTTAGAGTTCAATGAAGATTGCTGATAAGTGACTTATGCCTCTTCATCAGAGGTAACATGGTATAAATAAGTACTGTTCATCACCTATCTGACTGTATAGCCTTGGATAAAACAGCAGTAAATTATAAATGATTTGAATGTATTATCACGTGTGTTCTGTGTGCCCTGTTCATGCATAATGAAATTATACCGTCAATTAAAGAACAGTGCATTATCGATCGAACCAGTGACGCCGAAAACACGTACGAGAAGTGTAGAGTCGTGATCGGTCCTGCTTCCTGTCAAACTCAGCCATTTTAGTCCAGAACACCAATCTCAGCCTCTGCAATACGAATCCTTATATTCCAAACATACTGAGTTTATATACCAATCAAACAGACCACATCGTACCATGAAAAATAGGAAACAACATTTGTACACGATTGGCCAAATGTAGCTGTGAGTGTTGGAGGTAGTGATTGATAGACTGGCCATAATTCAAGAATGGTAAATCGTATAATAATCATTCATAGGTCGAAATTAAGCTCATAATAAGAGGAACAGGAGTATGAGTAGTTTAGTTAGATGACAGCTATACAATTACATTATACGTATAGTATTGATACATTAATGGATCCCAAATGATTACCATTCATTATGTTTATCGAGATATAACACAATGACATTTCATTTAAACATAATAACATTAAGATTTCTATTCTAATCTACCAATCCTAACTGATATTTGTTATTGATTCAGATCATGAACCGATTGATGATGTTAGACCAAAATTTAAAACCTGAGAGCACTGGATAGCTGCATCCCTCTGTTGTGGGAGTCCTCAACACAGTGCGCGTCAACGTTCCCGCTCCCGGGATCAAAACTTGAGATGGTCAAGTTTTGATCCCCTAAACTGATGCCATTTTTAGAGTTTAATAATTATCATTAATGATTATAAAACTTGAATGAAGAATTTTCTCAATGAATCAATCTATATACACACTATTATTCATTGTTCATATAAACAGTATTTTAGGTCCAAATGAAACACAATTGACTATGAAATCTTTACAAATTGAACAATCAAAACGAAACCATTTGTTAGTTACTATCAATCAACGAAATCATCATTTATATCCA